ATTGCCACACGCTGCTAGCTAGGATGAATAAATAATGTATATAAATGGAGCACATACATAATATACATACAGCTCATAATATACATACAGGCTAATCCCCGTAAAAAAAAAAAAAAACAAAGCCGTGGGAAATTAAGGTTTGTTTACATCCGGCAGTTCGGCTGCTCTCTCTCTCTGCTTTCATATTCTTATGTAGAGTAATGACGATATGTTTTCACATGTGTGCACTTACTGTACATACGCGTAGTCTCACTGGGTTTTTTTTACCTTTAATGGTTAGCTACTTACATATATTGTTCCATTTATTAACATTAAATAACATTACAGGTATTTCAAACAACCATATTAATTTTTTTATATTAATTTTACTACAGCTAAAATCAGGGTCTTATTTTCAGTTTTATATGTAGAACCAATCAGTCACTGGTTTTGTAAGCTTTAACATAAACAATGCCGGCAGCCGTCTCGTCTTCTCGTGTGTTTTAATAATCCACGTAGTATTAATAAATTGTATTGTTAATTTTGCACACACAAACATTAATTCAATAAAAACAAATTCAGAAACATTAATTAAAATATATATGAACAGTAAATAAGTGTTGCTTTCATATTCTTATGTAAAGTAATGACGATATGTTTTCACGTGTGCGCACTTACATACGCGATCTCTCTTTTTTCTTTACCATTATCGTTAGCTACTTCTATTGTTCCATTTATTAACATTAAATAACATTACTTAAAACAACCATATTAATTTTACTACAGCTACAACCAAGGTCTTATTTTCTTCAGTTTTATATGTAGAACCAGTCAGTCACTGGTTATGTAATCAACGAAAACAATGCTGTGTCATTTCCTCGTGTGTTTTAATGTTCAACGTGTTATTAATGAATTGTATTGTTCATTTTGCACACATAAACATTAATTCAATAAAAAAGACATTCAGTAATAAACAATAATGATTCTTTTGTACATAAAGAAATGACGCTGTTTACACGATTATGCACGTTGTCTGCACGTTGGCGGGCCATTCAAACCCGTCGAAATTCAAGTTTCCGCCGTCAAAATTTTTATTTATTTTTTTTTTGTGTGTTCCAATAAAATACGTTGAATTAAAAACTCGCGAAATTTGAGAAGCTACTATATGACATTTACCCCTTCAATATGTCTTCAAAGAGACCATGATGCAGAGAAATTGGTGCTAGTGCTTCCAAGCATAAGGACAAGTCACTATCTATCCAGGAAAAGGGTGAATTTTCCATGGTCCGGCACCGGTCAGGTCCCGAGGTTGCCGGACTAGAGAGGTACAACCTGTACATCCATTTTCGTAGCCAGGGTAATGGTTTTACGTTGCCTCTTCACTGCACTAGCATCAGTAGCACTTGATGGGTGCTTGGAAGCCATTTCGAATGGTTAGAGTAGAGTTTTAGAGGAAAAGCACTTAAGCACTCAGGAATGATGTGAAGTTGTAACAGAGACTGGCTCGGCGTCACTTGGGGACGCTGTGACGTTCCGCGAGTGAGGGAAGCGCACCTAGCTGAGAGAGCATAGCGCGGCCAGACAAGAATGGGTGATGCGCCGTAGAAAGTAGTTCGTGACGACGCAAAACGACGTATATCGGATCACCGGGACGTTAAACGAATTTTTGATCTCTATAGTTTAGCGACATAGTACCAAAACAATGTTAAGCGGGACGACGTTAAGCGAGGAGTTACTGTACTGTACTGTATTGAGTCTTAAGAGTAATAATTGCAGTTTATGTACAAGAAGATGGTGTGAAATATATACATTGTGGGAGAAATATTTTATAGGCACATCAATACTTATACTTTAATAACTGTATCTGAACCCAGATTATATCCTCTCAGGTGAACTTTATTATTGGAGGCGATGGACCTAAAAGAAGCATTCTTGAGGAAGTTCGAGACGAAGTGGGAAGTGAGCGTTTAAAACTTCTCGGAGCTGTGCCTCACGCTGAGGTTCATGGTGTACTGGTCAGGGGACACATCTTTCTTAATACATCACTTACGGAAGCATTCTGCATCGCAATCTGTGAAGCCGTTTGCTCTGGGTTTGTAATTATTTTTATTTGTTAGAAGTGAAAGCTATATGAGGCATTGCGTGAAGGAAGGATGAACTCACCACCTTGTCAATTTTCTGTTTTCTCTATCCCCTTGCAGGCTGAAACCTGTAGAGTGAGGTGGTGAGGTGAGCCATGGCAAAAGCGACCTTCATCCCAGGTAGTATAAGGGACAAAGTTGATGAGCAATTCCTCTATGGGTTACAACCTGCGAGGGGCGAGAGAAACCGGAAAAGTGACAAGGTTGCGAGTTGATCCTTCCTTCTCGCGACGCCTCATATGTGAATATATACAGTACTGTACAGTGACCCCTGTTTAACGAACACCTCGGTTAACGTAATTTCGATTAACGAACTGCCTTCCATAAGGATCTTCAATTCGGTTAACGAAAAAAAATTCGCTTAACGAACTTCTTACGAACCGACCTCAACATGTTTTCGCTTGCACTGACCGGGCAACCAGCTTTAGTATCAGTCCGCCAATACATTAATCGGTTCTAGGGCTTAAATTCCTTACTATTTTTGTAAATATCAAGAAGTTTATACTATTCAATAATTTTAAAAGTTTAATATTCAATTTTTTAGTCATTTTAACAATTATTGAACAAAATTGAAGGTAAAGTGACTAGTTTAATGCGCGGCATCCAGCCTCTTAACACAGCAAACAGGCGTCAGTCTCTCTCTGTTTTCACTGGAGGTAACATCTTGCTTGAGACTCTCTTCAACTAAACGCTTTTTTTCTGTGTTTCCAAGCAAATTATTGGTCATTTTGAAATATATTTTATATATTGACAATATATAATGCAGTGCAGCGTTGATTTAAAGAAAATAATCTTGAATTAAACCAGAGAGCTAAAATTTTATGGGTGAAATGGCACCATGGGGTGACTTCTCTTCCACCCCAATGCCTTCTCTTCTTCCTTCTCCTCCACCCCCATTCTAAATCCCATCATCATCATCATCATCCAGGAGCCTTCTACATACACACCTCAAAGTAAGTGAACTTTTCTACCATTTTTGTTGAATTTAGGAAATTTTCGGTGAGCTGGAACCAATTACCCAAAAACCCATTGAAACAATGGTTTCGGTTAACGAACGTTTCGGTTAACGAACGACCTTCTGGAACGGATTGAGTTCGTTAAGGGGCCACTGTACTGTACTTATTATTTAATTCTACAAGGAAGCAGGTTACCTACTTGGGGTACCCAGTGGTCTTATATTACTTGCAACTGCCAAGAAGTAGAGTACCATTGCTTTTTTTTTCTTGGATTTTGTTATTGATGTCAGATTTATTGATTATCAGGATATTTTATCCATTTTTACCATAAAGCTATAGTTTTTTGTCTCTTTTAATAGGTTACAAGTAGTGAGTACAAATGTTGGTGGTATCCCAGAGGTTCTGCCATCTCACCTCATCCTCCTTGCTTATCCAACTGTACAGAGTAAGTTGTATGTACCAGTACTTATATGTGTGTAATTATTTCAATACAGTACAGGGTTCTAGTTATGAGTTTTAGGACATTAGTCACTTCTGCAAAGCATTCATTTTGACCTGTGATTATAACCAGTTGAACTGAAACCAAGAACAGCCAGTCAATCAAGGGGCTGTATTCAAGAACATTGAGTGTAGGGCATCCTTATAGGCAATGTCTACATTTGGTATTCAAGAAGTGTAAAGAAAGCCCACAGTGTGGTGAATGCCAACAGATATTTGTAGTATTTCCTATGGATTACTGGAATGTTCATGAGAAGTGGGAAGGCATCCCAGGAACAAGTCCTCTGAAAAAATACATTCATAATTTAAGCATTTACTACCATCTATATGTAGTATGTGTGAATATACAGTACTGTACATAATAAAAAACAAATTTTTTATAGTAATAAGAGAACTTTGACAAACTTTTATTTATATTGAGACAGTTTATCTAGCCATAAAAATAGAGATACAGAGTGGATAATATTAACAATACAGGTGCTCCTGTACTTAAGAATGTTCAACTTACAAACTTTCAGAGATACAAACATCATCACTGATGAGGGTTACCTGCCAGAACAGGTGTTTAATGTGGATGAGACTAGATTATTTTGAAGAAAATTCCAGATAGAACAAACATTACCTAAGAGGAGAAAAGTGAGCCAGGTTTTAAGGCTGTATTAAAGGGTATATCTGTACTAAATATAAATCTTTTAATTTTTTACAATATGTTTGGTATCTACAAGAGTAAAGTTGGACTTACAAACAAGCCTCAGGAACGTAACTTGTTCATAAGTAGAGGAGCACCTGTATTGACATGATTGATTTATTGAATTGGTATTATTTACAATTTTTGTACTAGAACATTTAGATAACATTTAGGTCATTCTTTACTGCTTGAGGAGTAATTTCTGTATGCTTTAAGGTGCAATTTGCATGTACTATACAGTATATGAATTATACAGTATTTGGGGAAATAATATAAATTTCTCTGGGCATGAATGATTCAAAATTAATCTGCTTACAAAATGATGAACCAAAGTTTATCTAATACCCCGTACACCAGGATAGATGGTCTACACCAGTTAATTGAATTGGAAGTGGCTACTTCGCTGGGACTTCCTGGCTGGGCAGACTGGAGGTTATGTAGTGGAGATGTTAAGTTAGGTAGGAAAAGTCATGTAAACCTGATATATGAGTTGTTAGGTTTGGTTCCGTAGGTTCATTTGGTTTTAAATTTTTGTTGGGTTAGGGATGTTAAAAATGGATTCCTTCACAATATTTGGGATATTTTTAAGAAAGGGAATAATTTTTCTTCTATTGGAAAGTTTTGTAATGTTGCTCATTAACCTGCGGCACCTTTTGTAAAATTTTACGGGGGTTAATTTTTTAATTTTTAGTAATTTTTAAGTTAGGATAACAATAGGTTCTTCATATGCAGAATTTGATTCAGAATCAATTTTCTCATGTGGTATTTCTTATGCAAATTGACATTCACGGAGGTGAATGTTAATTTGCCAATTTACCAATTTGCCAATACATTCAACCCTCACTTTATGCGGTTAATGTAACCCACAGGGTACCGCGGAAAGTGAGAAACGCGTAAAGTGAATAACATATTCGATTAAATGAAATAGAGACCAGCTGACCCCCAATACTCCACTTTTTCCAACACAATACCTTTCTTCTAGTAAAAATAACATCTTAATTTTATGATGGTACATGCACACAATTAATACTTAAGAGAAATAGAGAAATACAGTCGCCAAGTTAATGTCCATTCAAATAATGGACTCAACTCCCTCCCCCTCTTCTCACACTACACTCGCTGGCTCTTCCCTCTCTCAGAAATTTTTGGGGGAAAACCAGGTATAGTAATAAATAATACCTCAAACTAAAGTTAGGATAATATAATTGACATTGCTGGATTCCTTGTAAGACCAGGAATATTTTGAATGTAAATGTCATATATTTTGCACAAAAGATAACATATTTACTCAGAGTAAACATTATATCTAAAATTTGTATGTCTAATGCAAAATGTATGATGTTTATATTCAAAATGATCATCAAATTGTAAGAATTCCAGCAATGTAAATTATATTCTGGCCGGGTAATTTGTATGAATTTTATGAGCTAAAACAAATATCTTCAGTTAATAAAAAAAAATATTCTTCATGACACTATCTGTCAATCAAAGTACCCCACCTTGCCTTCCCCCCTCTTCCAACCGGCCAGATGGTAGGTCCGTCCCAACCGTCCCCCCCACCCCCCACCAACCCTCCCTTCAAGAGAAAGGTTGGGTGAAAAAACTAGATTTTAACATTTAGTATTAAATAATACCTCAGATTAAGTTAGGATAATATAATTGACATTGCTGGATTCTTTGTAAAACCAGGAATATTTTGAATATAAATGTCATATATTTTGCACAAAAGATAACATATTTACTCAGAGTAAACATTATATCTAAAATTTGTATGTCTAATGCAAAATCTATGATGTTTATATTCAAAATGATCATCAAATTGTAAGAATTCCAGCAATGTAAATTATATTCTGGCCTGGTAATTTGTATGAATTTTATGAGCTAAAACAAATATCTTCAGTTAATAAAAAAAAAATATTCTTCACACGTGCCAGGTGGTCGGTCGCCGGTCCCCTCCTCCCTCCCACCCCCCTCCTCCCTCCCACCCCCCACCAACCCTCCCTACCAGATGAATGTGTGGGAATACCAGACTGTTTACCTTTTTAGTAATAAATAATAAATCAGACTAAAGTTAGGATAATATAATTGACATTGCTGGATTCCTTGTAAGACCAGGAATATTTTGAATATAAATGTCATATATTTTGCACAAAAGATAACATATTTACTCAGAGTAAACATTATATCTAAAATTTGTATGTCTAATGCAAAATCTATGATGTTTATATTCAAAATGATCATCAAATTGTAAGAATTCCAGCAATGTAAATTATATTCTGGCCGGATAATTTGTATGAATTTTATGAGCTAAATAAAAAAATTATACTTCACCCGCGTAAAGGGGTACACCCACCGCGGAATGTGAGCATCCTGGGTTCTGGCAGGGCACCGTGTAAACGTGGAAACGCGGAATGTGGGACCGCGTAAAGTGAGGGTTGACTGTAGCTGAAAAGACTGCTTCTTTTCAAGTGTTGGCAGCCCTGGAGCAAGGTGCATGATTTGGATGATGTAGTTTATGCACAACACTGATGGTGTAGGTATTCTCTATGGTAGCGATTCCTAATAGGGATACCCTATGCTCCACGTTATTGAATACCAAAGTTTAATCCTCATATCTGAGGGTTGATGACCATGGCTTTCCACTCTCAATGCAGTATTTTGGGACTGTCTTTACTAGTGCTCCCAGATTTTGTTTATCTCTCCAAGAATTCAGCTTTTATTTTCATTCATCCATCCCAGTTTCTGTCTTCCCCTGGCTTTCCATAGAACAATAAAATCTCAGAAATATGCGGGGTGGCATTTGTTTGGCTTATACACACTTTCAAACTGAATAACATAAAGAAACAATTATACTTCTTGACAAACATCTAGCAAAATAAAATGCATATTAAATTGGCATTAACTTGAATTATATGTTTAAATTTTCACAAGAAAATGAATGTATACCAAGTACAGAATAAGTTATCTGTTGCCTCTAGTTTCTATCTGCCCCAGAATTCCTAACTGACACACACTACCTCACATCATGTGCACCAATCGTGCATCCTCTCAAATCATCCCAAAATGCTCATGGTAGTTTATGTACAGTTTAGAGTTGGTTTAAGTGCTGAGGCATAGAAATTAACAACAGAAATGAATGTTTACAGTTTATCGAATGTATGTATACAGTACAACAATTGAGGACACTTTTTACATTTATTGCTGCAAACTTTGGGTCAGTACAGTATGTGTTCTTAACTTCTTACTCGCTGATTTAACATTAGAGTAAGAAGTCTCAGGTTAGGTATACTGTATTAATTGTCACTGTATATAGTTATGTTCATTTTGTTTTGTTTTGTCATTTAGGCTCCCAGAATACTGGTTCCTGAAGGTATACATAGCTATAAAAAATGAGTACAGTACTGTACTGTATTGAGTCCTTTCTTTTACATGGTGTAGTCTTCTATTATTTAAAGTGTACATTGTACGTCCAAGATTCACCAATTCCAGGCTTGACTCAAAAATTGGAATTAGCCATTAAACGGGAGGTGACCGGAGAAGGACTTGACCCTTGGGTGATGCATGAAGAGATGAAAAACATATACCTGTGGTCAGATGTAGTGCAGAGGACAGAAGTAATATACGACCAAGTGCATCTGGAAGAGTCTAGTGCTGACCTTGTTCACCGTATACCAAGGTAATATCTCATATGAGGCACTCTGCACCATAATCTGCTAAGTAATTAAACTGGTTTCTCTGTTAGCACAGTACAGTAGAACGTCGACCCAAGAGAGGTCGCTTTAAACTGTATTTGCACTAAATCAAAGTGTTGTTTCAATGGAATAATTTAGTTTGGTACTTGAGAGAATCACAAAACACTGTAAAGACTGACAGTCTACCCAGATGCACCTCAGTCCATCTCCTAGAATAAACAAAACATTGTTTTTTGTAGTATTATGTTAAAACAAACACTCATAAATCAACACAGCTAAAATTATGGGATTTAAAATGGTCTGTTTACAGGCTAGGAAGATTGGGGGGGGGGGTGTAACTTTTAGTTTTCTCTTATAAAATGTCACTGAACTGACCTGGGAGAATATAGTTAACATTCTTATAAGATCGTGATTAATTTGAATATAAACATGCTATAGCTCTCATTAGACATACAAATTTTAGTTCTAATTTAAGAATTTTACTACAAAGAGCAAAAATTTTTATCTCTTGTGCAAAATATATGACGTTTATATTCAAATTATTCGCTGTCTTGCAAGGATTCCAGCTATTCAAATTATATTCTCCTAACTTTAGTCTGTGACATTATAAAAGATAAAAACTTTAAGCCTAAAACACCAAACCCTGGCTGGGGGGGGTGTTGACAGTGACACGTTTGACAGTTGGCACCAAAGGTCTAGTGAAGTATTTATTTGTTTATTTATGTCCTTTAGATTGAGTTTTTGTTTTTTTGCTTATAAAATGTCACAGAAGTGACCGGGGAGAAAATAATTTACATTGCTGGCATTCTTATAAGATAGTGATTAATGACAAAAATTTTAGTAATCATTTAGTACATTATTTTGAGTACATGTAGAGTACACCTTTGCCCTTAGGACAGTGTAGCGTGCCCCGAGAAACATTAGGTGCAAAATTTTAAATATGATGCGCCAGATTGGCTCGCTCAAAATAGGAAAGATCCGCTTTAAATTAAAACATTGTCCTTAATTGTGGGTGTCGCTTTAAATCAATAATTTTAAATTGAATCACTTTAAATCAACGTTCTACTGTACTGAAATTTTACCATTTTAAGTAAATGATGTCATGGTAGCACATCTCTGTACAGTTGATTCAAGTTAAAATTCTTATGTGGTGCTTCTTCATAATACAGTATTATTTTTATGTGGTACTTCTTAAAAATTCATCCCCATTAGCCGGAATCCCTCAAACCTATAACTCTCTGATAGCCGAAATTGAAATTTGCTTGGAAAATCATTCCCAAAGCCAGAATTTTCCGGAAAATTCCGGGGATGAGGGATTTTTTTCCAGCTTTGAGATATGAAATAATGTATCACTCTGGAACTTCCGAAAACATTTTTCCGTTACTCGGAAAATTCTGGGGATGATGGATTTTTCCCATCTTTGAGAGAGTCGTCTCGTTACCCGGAATATCTCATTCCCGGAAGTGCTCTGCACCAATTGTTCCAGCTAATGGATATATCACTGTACAGGCATCCCCCGCGTTACGGAAGGGTTGCGTCCCTGGAAAATTGACCGTATCGCAAAATTCCGTAACGCGAAACCTATTTTCCCATTGACTTCCATTATAAAACTGGAGATGCGTTCCTAAGGAATTTTTTTGGCCCAAAAAAAGTAATTCAAGCACTTTTATGAATGAAAATAAACATTTACTGTATAAACACATACAATACAGTACATTAAATAATTTATGATATACCTTCTTAAAACATCAAGTTTAATATCCAATGTAATACCTTTGCGGCTTGTTTTTTGCACTACTGCGGTCACTTCCACTTGATGGCCTCTTTCCAGTCATCTTGAATAAAGGTAATGCACTGTACTGTACTTACTGTATGTTTGTAAAAGTTAAATCCAACTGCTGGGGCGAGAAACATGCGTGCACACTGGATGTAAACAATGGAGTGACTCCGCGTGGCGATGCCATGCTTGGCGGTAGCAAACACCAAGAAATCCACACCAAACAAATTATAATTAAAAAAAAAAATTATATAGTGATTTTTTTTTTAATTGTTAAAATTTACCCCAATTTCCGTAAGGGCGGATTTACGGGCCGTATTGCAAAATTATTGGTCATAATTTACAAATTCCGTAAGAGCGAAATTCCGCAACCCAGGGTTCCGTAACGCGGGGGATGCCTGTACAGTACTGTATTTATAATTTTTATGTGGTACTCCTTCATAATATAATTTTTGTGTGGTGCTTCATAATATAATTCTCCTGTGGTGCTTCATAATATAGTACAGGCAGTCCCCGACTTACGACGGGGTTAGGAACCCAAAACCAGGTTGTACGTCGAATTGGCCGCAAGTCGAAAATGCAAAAATAATACATAGAAAGTCTAAAATGGGTGTTTCTTTTTCTTCTCAGCACCACAAAACTCTCACTTTTAAGCTTGCCAGCATATTTTAAATGGAATTACAAAAAAAAATTTTGTCAGTACACAGCGCAATCACTAACGTTGGGACTCGAAAATACGTACAGTAATACCCCGATTTACGCGGTTCCTGTTAACGTGTTTCCACATTTACGCAGTACCACGCCAGAACCAGAATTTCCACTTTACGTGGTGCATCTACTCATATACGCGGGAAGCGGCGCGGGCAGGGTGCGCACAAGGTCGCCCAGTCGTCAAAACATTACCAAGTTCTTCACCCGCCACCCACCACAGCCGGCCCAAGTCAGTGATAGTGAGGATATGGACTTATATGGACTTTGAGGGGTTTGGCAAAGAGGCCCTGCAAGCCTCTGTGGTGGATAGTGATACAATTGATACAAGTGATACATGTGAGGGCCAATAATCTGCCCTCTGCCTCAGAACCAACCCCCCATCCCCGTGTGCCCAGCCATCTTTTCTACTAATGTTAGTGTTAAAAAACCCTAATATTATTGGTATTTCTCTTAATTATTAATTGTGTGTGCATACCAGCATAAAATTAAGAAGTTATTTTTACTACAACGTAGGTATTGTGTCTGAAAAAGTGGAGTTTGGGGGTCGGCCCAGTCTCTATTTCAATTAATCCCATATGTTCTGTTGTTCCATTTCCGCGTTTCCCGTTTTACGCGGGTTCAATTGACCGCGCAAATCGGGGTATTACTGTAATTTTAAAATTTTTGGGTACGACTGGGGCGGTCGTATGTCCGGGTGGTCGTAAGTCGAGTAGGTCGTAAGTCGAGGAGTACCTGTATAATTCTTATGTGGTACTGTACTTCATAATATAATTCTTATGTGGTACTGTACTTCATAATGTAATTCTTATGTGGTGCTGCCTCATAATATAATTCTTATGTGGTACTGTACTTCATAATATAATGTTTATGTGGTACCGTGCTTCATAATATAATTCTTATGTGGTACTGTGCTTCATAATATAATTTTTATGTGGGACTGCACTGCTTCATAATATAATTTTTATGTGGTACTGTACTTCATAATATAATTCTTATGTGGTACTGTGCTTCATAATATAATTTTTATGTGGGACTGCACTGCTTCATAATATAATTTTTATGTGGTACTGTACTTCATAATATAATTCTTATGTGGTGCTGCCTCATAATATAATTCTTATGTGGTACTGTACTTCATAATTTAATTCTTATGTGGTACTGTACTTCATAATATAATTTTTATGTGGTACTGTACTGCTTCATAATATAATTTATATGTGGTATTTCTTCATAATATAATTTTCATAATTGATATTGTATTCCCACTGTTATAATCTTATGTATTAAACTGTCCAAAGCTTTAGTTGTGATAAACAAGCATCAAGCCTCTGTATGTAGTCAGTTTTTGCATTGAACTCAGCTTTTAAGATGCTTTAACGCTTAAACAACTGGTGCTTTTTTGTGTAGACTATTAAGTCTGACTGGGAAAAAATGAGGGTTTAAAAAAATTGGTAAAAATATCACATTTTCTTATAAATAAAAAGGACAAGTTTTGCTCTTTGTTATCATATTTCTTCAAGAGCAACAGCTAGTGAGAGACATGAACAATGGCAGGGAATATAATGTGTATGCAACGAGGAGGGAGGTAGGGGAAGTGTTGCCACGTGTACCAGCTGTGGAACTGTTTTTAATATATTATTTTGTGATCAGCCTTTCATAGTGTACAATTCATCATGAATAATATGTCAGTAATATAAAAAATACAATACTGTATACAATTTGACGTAATAATAAATGGATAAGCTGCATCAGAAGGCATCAATCTTCTGCAATATTTCAAGCTAATTATATTTTTTTGTAAGGCAGAAACCATTTACTGTACTATGATGAAAATAAGATCAAGCAAGGTATGAAGATGAAAATCATCATATTTTTTTATTATAATTATGGAGACAGAGACTTGATAAGGCTGGGCTTACGAGGAATGTGGATTTGAGTCTTGACAATGCTGTCGGTATCTGTCTTCCAAAACACCCGTGTCCTCAGATAGTCGTATTTCTTTCAGTGATCTTAAAGAACATAATTATGGGCATGGGGCATCAACATGGTAAGGGTGAAGAAATAGCCAACGTTTATTCACGATGGTGTTGTACAATTGTTTTCGCATGGAAGTCCCATAACACCCCAGGATCAATGTCCTTGATGCAAGACTGAACAAAACAGGAATCCTCCACAAGAACAATACTGTATAGCTAACAATGTTGCATTCACTGAAATGTGAGGTAGAATTCACAAAGTTTTTGGTAATTAAAGGCGTTTATTGTAAGGCGTTTTCGATGCACGGATTTGCTGACGCGTTGGCTATTTTGTATGTGCAGACGCTGCATGACACATTCAGAGAGAAAAGCTAACACCTCGATCAGGCGTTAGCCTTGTGCAGCGCCCAAGCGGCCCAAATAGCTAACAACCAATCAGCGATTTTTTCCACTGAAAATACGCAGATCATCGCAAGAAATACGCACTGATGGGCGCGATAGGAGCCTGAACATCACTAAAGAAATCAGACCAACGCACTGCCTGATTTGAAGCACGAAGCACAAATTTACTGATGGCATCCAAAGCCTTCACAGGGGTCATGGCCCCCACTGAGTTGTAGTGAACCTTGCATCCAAGACACGCTGGAGAGCAGGAACGCAAAAGAGGTGGATAAATAGGACAGCGTCAGCATCTGGCCACTTGTTGAGCTGCAACCAGCACTCAGTTGAGCGCCTCCAGGACCGGAAGGCTGCTGAGGACATCTCCAGGTCACATTTCTCAGTCGCTGCGGCCGTAGAGACTCGTGGCTGAGATGAGTTGGCGTGGGGCTGACAGCGATGCCAAACTTGAATGCAGCGAGACAATGGCTTGCTGTTGTAACATTAGCACTGACTGGGCCAGCATTGCCGGTGTCGCCAAAGAAAGGTGGCTACGGTGGATCCTGGCAGGCGTTGAGAACCCCGGACGGCATGAGAGCGGCATCTTGAGGTTTTGGTTCACAGCTAAACTCACTGCGCCATGTTAGGTGTTTTCTTGAAGGAAAGGAGAAACACCGTGTAGTGGCCGGAAACTTTAATATGGAGATCCGTACTCTATGACTGACAGACGATAACTGGCGCCGCCATCTCTGCTACCAGGGGTTGCCTGGTAGTGCAACATAATAATGATAATGTATACATCTTACACTTTAACTTTCATCTTTATTCAAGACAATTTCAGAAAATTCTCTCGATTTTCGACCTTTGAAATTTTTTTCCTAAAGCTGGAAATTTTTGGAAAATTCCGGCTTTGGGATTGATTTTCTGAGTAAGTTTCAATTCCGGCTATCGGAGAGTTCCGGGTTTAGGGATTCCGGCTAACGGAGATACAGTGTATTATTATTATTATTATTATTATTTTTATTATCATCATCATCGTCATCGTCATTGTTTGTTGTTGTTGTTGTTGTTGTTGTTGTTGTTGTATTTTTGTCCCCAGGCCCCAATGCGGGTCATTGACCTGTGCCCAGGTGGGCTAATCCTGAGAAAAAAAAGAAAAGAATCATAACATTATTCCTCCCCAGGCATGATATGAGACTTGACAAACTCTGGTGCACTCATAGTAAGGTGTCCTTAGTACTCATAGTACTGTATCTCATTTACTCTCTGAGTACTGTAGTCACATTTACTGTACTGTATATTTATTTTTGTACTGCAGATACAAGAAATGTGGCCTTTTAGCAGGGTGGTTTATGATGTTCCTCGTAACACTACAGTTCCTGCTGCTCAAGATTTGTGACAGACTCTGGCCGGCCAAAGTGAGCTTTACAGTATACTGTCATCATGGATGATTACTGCTAATTGTTAGCTTCATGTGGTGATGTCCTTGTCTTTACCACCTTAAGTACAGTACCATAGTAAATTAGCCTTTAATGTAAGTTATCTTAGATTACTATGCAGTGCCGGATTAACCATGAGGCACTTGAGGCACTGGCCCCCAAGTCCAAACATTCTCGAAGTTGAAGCATATAAAGCATGAACTTCGTTAAACGATGTCTTAGCAATGTCTCAATTTTCTGTCTCTTATGAACATTGAATGTGTTATTTTGCAGAAGCTTAATATTGATGAAATCATTGATAAATTTTAGTCTATTTTGTTCTTGCTTTATATATATACCTTGAGGGTAGAGGGCCCCAAGTTGATCTGTGCCTCAGGCCCCTATTAAGCTTAATCCGGCCCTGTTACTATGACTTATTCCTATTGCCTTGAGTAAGATTACTGTAAGTGTCTGCTTCATTTACACTGAACGAAAAAACCATCATCTCAGATTTGGATGAATGTATCCTGGAATACTTGAACCTTCAGACACAGTCTTGGGGAACTTCTGAACAGTTGTTGGGCCTGGAGAGAACTGATCCTGAGTTTCCAGGGTTCCACCATTGTTCGTTTATCATGACTGGGAAATATATAATTTACCACATTAACCACTTTGGGATGCTTCCAACCATGATAGTTTTGTTGTAACCATATACCGTATATACTCGTCTATAACCCCCCTTCGTATATAGGTCGACCCCGATTTTATGACCAAGAAATCGTTAATTTATGATATTCCTCGTTTATAGGTCGACCCAAGTTTTTGAGGGTAAAGGAACAACAAAACCTTCAGAGAAACACTACGTCCTATAAACTTGTTTACCATTTATTATCACGACACTGTACACTGAAACGCGGGTAGTTTCAACAAAAATATTGTATATTTCCATTCAAGTATTTATTCAAGTCAATTAGGAGGGAATGTTATTGTAATACAACAGTTTTTTAACTAAACCATTCGAAAAGTGATTACGGTAACATCTTTTGAACGAAAGAAAGCCAGTCATTGTTTTCATCACGATTTTATCCCACTTTCCACTGTAATACGTACGTCATTTCAGCAAAAAATATTACATTTCCGTGAATGTATTATATCAAGCACAGTATAAATAGAATATCATTGTAATATAACAGAATTTTATCCGAAAACTATTAAAAAAACGAATAACATCTCGAGAACATCGGAAGCTTAGGTAAAGTCTTTTGTTTTCGACATGTATTTTATCCTATTTTACATTGAAATACATCACGTTTCAGCAAAACTACTATTTATTTCCGAGAATATATTTATTCAGGCGCAGTTTAGGTAAAATATACGTGTGATGTAACAGTTTTTTAACTGAAAACGATTCGAACACGTGTACCCTCTAGCCCTGTTCAAGGAGAGGACTGGGAGAAGCTGTTTGGTGCTGCAGACGATGACAAAGAAAATGATTTTGGTGGATTTTAATGAAAATATTCAGAAATATGGTATCGTAATATTTATTCAAGTCAATTAGGATATTATTGTAATACAATACAACAGTTTTTTAACTAAACCATTCGAAAAGTGATTACGGTAACATCTTTTGAACGAAACAAAGCGAAAGTCATTGTTTTCATCACAATTTTATCCCACTTTCCACTGTAATACGTATGTCATTTCAGCAAAAAATATTACATTTCCGTGAAGGTATTATATCAACCACAGTATGAATAGAATATCACTAATATAACAGTATTTTAACCGAAAACTATTAAAAATACGAGTAACATATCTTGAACATCGGAAGGTTAGGTAAAGTCTTTTGTTTTCTGCATGTAGTCTATCCAAATTTACATTGAAATACATCACGTTTCAGCAAAACTACTATTTATTTCTGAGAATATGGAAATGTAATATTTTTGCTGAAATGACGTACGTATTCAGTGGAAAGTGGGATAAAATCGTGACAAAAACAATGACTCGCTTTCTTTCGTTCAAAAGATGTTACCGTAATCGCTTTTCGAATGGTTTTCAGTTAAAAACTGTTATATTACAATAATATTCTATCCTAATTCACTTGTGATGTAAAAGTTTTTTAACTGAAAACGATTCGAAAAACACGTGTACCGTCTAACTGATACGGCAGAGCCCTGGTCGCGAAGGCTTTGTGTTTGCATCGGCCCTTCTTAAGCAGCTTTTAATTTTAGCGTACGTTGAAATTGTGTTTACCGGTGTATTCTTATTTTCTTGCTTCTTATTTTCCAGAAATATGACAAGATTTTATATAATACAATGTTACGGTACTTTTAATTTACAAGTATTCATTTTTAAAAATACAGAACACCAAACAAATACTAGTACGGATATTTGCGTGACTCTCCCGCCAAAAAAGACCAAACAGCTGGTACTCTCTCCCTCAGCCCTACCAAAAATAGCCCAACATCTTTCTTGTTTATTCTCTTCCAATTTCTCACTTTAACTGGTATTTTTTACTTCATATTGCCTACATCAGATAAACTACAGTAATTGAGGTTAGATATTGTTATAAATTTGATTACCGGGTCCTGGCAGGTACCGTTAGAACCACCTGACCCTACCAACAATGTTGCATTTTTTTTTTTTACATTTTTGGTGTCTCCATTTGTTAATTTTTTTTCTGTGGGGTTTGCACAATAGTATACTGTTTTACCTAAAGTATTGTAAAACGATTTGGGAAAAGAAATACTCGGTAACTTAAAATTTTAAAAGGAAAATTTTGAAACTGGCAACTGTGTGTAGATGACCTGACTCACATCATATTGATGTTTCAAATTTAATTAACAAAAATTTATGTATCTATAAATAAACTTTTAAAAATGAATACTTTATGTTCTACATACTCCTGTGCATACCATACCATGCATTTGGCTACTTTGGGCTTGCTATGATGACGCAAGAGATCTGCCCTGGCAACTGTACCGACACTCACAGCGGGTGGTGCGTTGGTGCGTCGTTTCCATTGTTTACTGGTAGTTACTGGTAAATATTTTTCAACCTAACGAAACTATTACCCGTATAGAGGTCGACCCCCAACTTTTTGCCCAAAAATTTGGTCTTAAGAACTCGTGCTATACACGGGTATATACGTATTTCATAAACGTACATACAGGTTTTTAGGAAGGCATCGTGTACATTAAGCTGACATTGATTGTAAATTGTTTTCTGGGGGTTATGTCATCAAACTGAAGGGGTTAATTTCTAAGTACAGTACAGTATTATCAATTCTCACAAACTCCTATTTAATTTATTTAAGTGGTTTTACCTATACATTATTTTTATTTTATCAATATTTTTAATGTGTTTTTTCTGAACTTCCAGGATATAGACATTGCCCTTGATTATCCAGTGGACTGCAGTAGTTTTCAAGAAATCAATAAAAACAGTGTTGCACATTCTTCTTCGTCTCCTGTTGGGAATGGCACTCAACCTATATCAACAGATTCCAAAAGAAGGCATAATTAAAAAAAAAAAACGTATATAGAGGGTCCTTGCTATGTAGTACGTTGTACCGGTATACAGTATCTTATTTCACACATACTTCACTAACAAATATAGGGAGATATATTCTTTAAATGTCAATTGTTTCACTTGTAAAGTGAACAAAAAAATTATCGTGCTACTTTCCGTACTTTTCATGCTGGAACACAGGAGTGGCTGAGATATTTGCTTATTACCAGTTCCAACGGACCCCGGGGGCATGATAATTTGGTTGTTGACTGTATTTTATCTGCATCATCAACTGTTTTATACCAAATCTGTTTGTACCCAAATATGATGCATAATTATGTGTTAAAAGCAGGGTGATTTTTTTATTCGAGAACCCCAAGCAATTCCCATACTGTACAGTTAAACCTATATCAGTTAGGAACCTAATACTGTACAGTGGTCCCTCGGTTAACGAACACAATTCGTTCCAGAGGGTCATTCGTTAACCGAAAATTTCGTGAACCGAATCCATTGTTTCAATGGGATATTGGGAAATTGGTTCCAGCTCACAGAAAAGTACAACGCAAAAAAAATGCAGTTAAGTACACTTACTTTGAGGTGTGTATGTAGAAGGCTCCTGGTTGATGACGATGATGGGAATTAGAAGTGGGGATGGAGGAGAAGAGAGAAGAGAAGGAAGTGGGGATGGAGGAGAAATCACCTTTCAGGGGACCCATGATTGATGCCGTCATTTCACCAATGAAATTTTAAGTTCACTAGGTGTAATTCAAGATTATTTTATTTAAATCAACACTGCACTGTGCTATATATTATCAATATGTTAACTAAAGTTCAGAATGACCAATAATTTCAATGAAAAATGAAAAAATATTCAAGACACCAACAAAATAGATGTTCACTCCACTGTCAACAGAGGCCAACTGACACCTTGTGGCTGAGTCAAGCGTCTGATGGGCGCACAAAAATCTAGTTCCTTGTACTGCATATATTATCAATATGTTAAATAAATGTTAAAATTACTAATAATTTTAATATAAAAAATGCAAAAATATTAAAGAGCAGAACTTTCTTGATATTTACTCCACTGGAAATGAATGTCAACATAGAACAGATCACTGAATTGGCTGACTAGCCCATCAGCTGATGCTCACAACAAAACATGATGTTCGTAAGGATTTCGTTAATCGAAGTTTTGTTCGTTAACCAAATTGAAGATTCTTATGGAAGGTAATTCGTTAACCGAACCGTTCGTTAACCGAGGGACCACTGTATTTTGCATAAATGTAGCCTAATGACACGTGTGCATGGGTAGAAGACTTCATCCACTCAATACCACAGGATATGTGCGAAAGAGATATCAGGAACTTCACAGTATGCATAAACGAGTGTTTTTGTCGCAAAGACAGTCATATTCAGCATTTTATCCTGTAGAAATAAAATCTTCCATCTTTCTTCTTTATTTTCATGTACATAGAAGAACTGTACTTGTTCTTCTAAAGTTACAAACACAAATTTAAATTAGGTATATTTTATTGGTGCACCCTGTACTGTATAATGTTTCGCTTTACTGTTAAAGCTCATCTCAAAATACATAACGGCTTGAGATCTATTCTGACATCAACTTTTCTAAATAATTATGAATGTTTATACTGTATTGTTACAGTTTACTGCTTACTTGTAAGAATATTTATGCTTCATCATATAATACAGTCATTCTCAACACATTTACTAAATGGTAATATCACAACACAATAACTACAAGCTTAAATCCACCCCTTTTAAAATAATGAATCTTATATAGTAAGTTGCACAAACGTACATGTATCACATACTGTACTGTACATCACTTTTTGCATAGTAAGTATTTCCTAACAATTTAAATATTTAAATACAACTGATCTCCATTTTTTTAAACTGTGTATCTAAAAACACTTATCTCCATTTTGTGAAGAAGACGCAGGTAACGATATACTGTACAGTGTATATACTGTATGCTCACTCGTATACAGGAACCCTATTCCTACCGGGAATTCAATTAATGCGAGCAAAATTCACCCTTTTGCGAGTCCACGATTCAAAATATTAAGAATGCAGACAAAATGTCGCACTCTCTGACATGATTCTAACCGTGATGACTCTGTCACTCCAACATAATCACTCACTTTGTAAAACCTCTACCACCACCTCCACCATCTGGTCTACCCAAGCTGATGTGTCTGCTTTTATTGGTAAGTCCACTGTACTGTACCCTTGCTCTCTCTTTTACAGTACAGCTCCTCCCCAACTTTTGAACTTTATTTTTTTTCTTTTTTTTCTACGGAAATTAGCCTACCGGGGCACAGGTCAAACGACCCACAACGGAGCCTGGGGGGCGAAAAAAAAAAGAACGGAAAGAAATTGAAAATATAGAAAAAAAGGTTATACTGTATTAATCTACACCACGAAGATGCCGGAAAACCAGCTTTTTAAAGTGAGACAGATTGTAAGAGCATGGAAACACAGAAGAAGGCAGAGCATTCCACAGTTTGGCTGTGTGAGGAAAGAAGGAGGTACTATAACGGGTTATTCTCGTGTGACTGACATCCACAGAGAAACGGTGGGCACTGCGGGCAAGACGTGTGTTACGAACCCACGGCCTTGCCGGCGGTACACAGGGTGCCAAATCCACTGAACATTGCCCGTTAAAGTACCTGTAAAAGAGAGAGAGTGAAGCAACATTGCGGCGAAGAGAAAGGGGAGATAGATTGTCGACAAAAGGAGGAGAGTTAATAAGACGAAATGTCTTTGATTCCACCCTATCTAATAGTTGGACAGAAGAAGAGCCACCCCAGATATGAGAGCAGTACTCCAAGTTAGGACGAATGAATCCCTTATATACTTGGAGCAACTGCTCAGGAGTGAAGTAGCTGCGGCATCTGTACAGCATTCCCAACTTTCGGGAGGCAGCTTTAGTTATACTAAGGATGTGTGATTTCCAGGACATATTGGAGGAAATGGTGAGGCCTAACATATTTATTTCAGAATTTGGGAGGATGATAGCGTCCTGAAATGTAATTGGTGGGAGATCGTCTACTTTACAAAGTGTAATTGGTAAATATTGAGTTTTGTTACTATTGAACTTTACCAAGTTTGTATCTCCCCATTCAGAGATGCTGCACAGATCTGCATTGATAGAAGTAATGATATCAGTTCTAGAAACAGATCTAGTTTGAGAGTTAGGAGGAAGGGGAAAATGTGAGGAAGAGTGAAGAGTGGAATCATCGGCGTAAGAATGGTTAGAATTAGTTGTAGTGTGAAGTAAATCATTGATAAAAAGAAGAAAGAGAGTTGGTGAAAGAACAGAACCCTGTGGGACGCCACTTTTGGTAGAGAAAGAGCGAGAAATCGATCCCTCGACAACAACTGCCATGGATCGATTCTCAAGGAAGCTAGAGATGAGAGAACAAAGTGGGGGAGAGAAACCAAAAGAGGGAAGTTTAGATAGCAAAGACTTGTGCCATACCCTGTCAAATGCTTTGGGTGCAATAGGAGAGCTTATCACCAGTAGATCTCGCCTGGCGAAAGCCATACTGGTGATCCGACAAAAGAGAAAGGCGTTCAAGGTGGCGGAGAAAATGGGAGTTCAAGACAGTTTCGAAAATCTTAGAGAGGGATGAAGTTAGGGCAATGGGGCAATAGTTAGAGGGATTAGAATGGTCACCCTTCTTTGGGATGGGTTGAACCAAGGCATGCTTCCAAGAAGAAGGAAAAGTTTTGGTTTTGTGGCAAAGGTGAAAAAGGCGAGCAAGCACAGGGGCCAGGGCTTCAGCACACTCCCTCAGAACACGAGGGGGTATTCCGTCCGGTCCATGCGCCTTACTCACATCCAACCTGGATAACACACCGGCAACCCTGCGAGTGGAGATTATAGGAAAGTGCATAGGTTCAGTAGGAGGGGAAGAGTGGGAATCGTCTAAGGTGGAATTAGAGGAGAATAAGGTGCCAAAGAGGTTGGCTTTCTCAGGGGGAGAGTTGGCTATAGAGTTATTGGGACAGAAGAGGGGAGGAAAAGAAGGCGTGCAGAAGTTGTTACATGTTTTTAGCTAAGGACCAGAAGGATTTACTAGAGGAAGAATTAGTCAGGACAGCAGTCTTTCTTTTAATAAAATTCCGCTTGGCCCTACGAAGATTAGCCTTACAACGATTCCTAGAAGTAATGAAAGAGGTGTGGGTAATAGGAGGAGATAGTTTCATAGCTCGATATGCCCTATCTCTTACCCTGCAAGCAAGAGAGCAGGAGCAATCAAACCTACTTGACTTACGACCACCCTCACTTATGACCTGCCTTAATCGTACCAAAATTTTGTCAAATTACATATTTTCGAGTCCCAACATCAGTACACAGACAAAGTTTTTATTTGTAATTCACTTAAAATTGGCTGGCAAGCTTAAAAGTGAGAGTTTTGTGGTGCTGAGAAGAAAAAGAGACACCCATTTTAGATTTTCTATGTATTATTTAAGCATTTTTGACTTACGACCTGGATTTGGGTCCCTAACCCCGTCGTAAGTCGGGGAGGAGCTGTATTTTAAAAATAATGTTGTATTGACTTGTTTTATGGTTTATTTGTTTAGAAATTTTGTTGAAAATAGGTCTGGAACATTTTCATTTTGGATTATGGAAAGCATCCTATATTTTCCCACTTGACTAAGTATTCGATATTTCGATATAGATCCTCGATAAATTGGGCTTCAGTATATCGGAATTTGCTTTTTTCAGACTGAAATGCTCTGGTCACCAGAAATACAAAACAAAAATAAATAAATAAATAAAAAATTGCCTGTTCTAAGAAATGGGGAAGATAAATAAAAAAATCTTATGAAATGAACAACACTTACTGAATACTATACAGTGGTTTAATCAGATTTACTCTAGGCCTACTGAGAACTAAGACTCTTGAGTATGTAGCGTACTGTCGTGGCAGGTTGTCAGGGTCTCTTATTTGGCCTCGCAACGTACGTACATGAAATTATCCAACACTCAGGATTGAGGTAGAAATAGAAAATCACAGTGTTTCTCGTATATACACCTAGACCCCGACTTACGACTACGTGGACTTACGACTGCCTCAGATATAGATAAATTTTTTTATTTATTTATTTATTTATTTTTTTTTTTTAAATGACACACGCATTTTCTATACCGAAACGTTTCCAGTTAATGTAGTCTCCATGTATAATTAGAAAATTATGGGGGCCCCATGTGCATTCAGCTGACTACATTAAAGGTTAAGTGCTCAGTCACACTGTATCCATTCCTTATTATTTATTACTTTCACTGTACTGTATCCATTCATCATTATTCATTACTTTTAC